GGCCTTGGCTCCCGACCCACCCCCTCCCCCCGCAGGTAAGAGCAGCGTCAGCGTCAGCAAGCAACGGTCAGCGGCAGCCCCACCACCCCCCCACCCTCCACCTCACACACTCACTGGCCCCTTGCGCGATGGCACGCCGGCATGTTGGCATGGGAACGCCAAGCCCGGCACGGTAGCGGCGGCTGACTGAGTAATGGCACAGCCGACCGCCGCGGCAGGCCACTTTGCACTCCTGCCTGCAATGCATGCACCCTTACATGTGCAGCCTTCTGGTATTTTCATGTGCCTGGGAGATGTGCGGGCATGGGGGCCCATGTGCCCCATGCCATTTGAGTGCCCGGCGGCGGCGCTGCCTGCCGCCGGGAGCCCGCACCAGCATCGGCACCCGTCGGCCTGGCAGGCCTAAGCTGCTAAGGATCCCCACGTCCCCCACCACGTTGTGGGGGTTGCGTGTCCGGCAGGACGGGGAGCGGGGCCAGGGTGGGGTGACCCTGGGACGCTCAGCTGGGGGGAGGGTGGTCGGAGCCATGGAGAGGGTGCTCCATGGTCCACCCCCTCTCTTGATGCCCCTTGATCACGTGTGCCCCCTGCCCAAGGTCTGCTCACGCGGCCTATCATAGCGGGGTGACTGTAACACAGGGTAACATCTTCAGGGGGAGCACTGCAAGGTCGGTGATCTGCAGTGCAAAGAGAAAACGACTCAGGCATGATAGATGGCCATCCAGAGCCCGACAGGATGGGGTTGTGTGTTATCACATGTTAATTGCGCGGCCCCCCTCAATAGCCTACCTCCTGCAGCACTTTCGGGAACTTTTTTTCAAACACCGTGTATCCCAGGCCTATGAGAGTGACGGGCGTCCAGTCAGGCACAGGGTTGCTCCACTCAGCCTTGGCTGCACGAGGCAGTGAGTGCGGTGCAGGTCAGGGATGGTAAGCTGAACCACAGTGGAGACGAGCCAGCCAGGTTCTGCTTTGAAGAAGGCTGCATCATAGTGGGCCCGCCGCCTCTGGGATGCTCTAGGCGGCTCCGGACGGCACAACCGCACCCTCAGCGAGCGCTGCACCTCCCACCCACCCTTGTAAGGCGCCAGCTTGATGGGAGGGTAGGTGCTGGGGCGGCTGAGGTACAGCAACGCCACGTCGTTGTTTTTCTTATTCAACGTCCACCGCTGAAACACATAGTCTGGGTGGCGCACAATCTTGGCCACGCGCCGCTCCTGGTAGCCAGTGTCTGGGGTGGCGGTGGCATTGAAGGCATAAGCGCCGATGCGCACCTGCAACGCAAGGGCAGGGCGTGGAACTGGTGGGTGGGCAGCACTACTGACGACGATGCCCTGCCCCATCCCCTGGGGCCAATCAACAACTCCACCACACATCCATCAATGCGCCCTGGCCAGATTGAACCCTCCCACCCCTCCGACGCACAATGAAGGGCGTTTGTTTGATGTCGCCATTTCTTTCAGGCATCACGCACTGCACAGCAATTGCAATGGGGATCCACCAGGAAACAGGAAACTTGCCCACATGCAGGGGGTGGCTGGGGCCGGCATACATTGTGCTGCAGCCTGTGGCCGCAGACACACCGGCAGCAGCAAGTGCCCGGCAGATATGGCGAGGTGAGCCACCCACGTGCGCCGCCGTGAGGACAACCGACTCATGGATCAGGCTGGCGCCGCACGAAGGGTCTTCAGGATTTGCTGCCTCGCGCATTGACGCAAAGTACTTGTACCTGCAACGCGGGCGGGTGGTGTGGTGGCAAGGCATGCAGAGATGCTTGGGAGTTTGGCAGCTGCGCCTGCTACAGGCGAAGCTGTTGATGCAGCGCTCCAGGGCCGCTCCCGCCACAGGCGGACAGGGTTGCACCTGTTCCGGGGGGCGTTCCGTCCGTTGCTAATGGCGCTTTGCACACCGTCATCCAGCAGGCGCCTGCAGGGGAGCAGCCAGGACCCAACAGGCATGAGCGGGTGCGGCAGGCAAGGCGCACCCTCGGGGGAGCGGCTGGCACTACGAGACCAGCGTCCCCGCACAGCCACACCTGTCCAGGGCAGCAGAGGCGACGGAAAACGCTGCTGCCAGCAGCAGCAGCAGCAGGGCAGGCTGCATCGCTGCAATGTTCCAGTAGCGCCGGCGGCAGGGGGGCGGAAAGACCGGCGGCGGCGTAGTAAGTGGGAACTGCGCAGCTGTCGCTCAGCGGCGGCCCTCGTGTGTGATTAGCGTCAGGGGCCTGACAGGCGCCTGTTTGCAGCCAATGCTGCGCCGATGCGTGGGACGCGGGCTGCCGCAACCAGACGCACCACCCGCAGACGCCGCTCGAGACGCTCCTGTGGTTGGAGGATGTGCTAGACGCCAGTCTGCGGGCCGCCAAAAGGGCGGGACACGGTGGCAGACGTACCGGCGAAAGCGTCCCGCCGCTCCGCGCCGCCGCGCCGCCGTGGACAGCAAAGAGGTCTCTAACAGCCACCTTGAGCGTCTTTGGGGCTTGGTGCATACCACACGTTTCTCTGCTACATGCGCCTTGCTTTTAGAACAGAACGGAGTGGCATCTGCCAGCACGGTGCCATAGCCCTGGCGCCCCGCCGCCGCCGCCGCCGCCGATGCCGCCGCCGCCGCCTGGCAAGTGCCAGTGCTGCAGCCGAGGCACCTCTCTTCCAACCCCCCAGTGATCCACACAGGGGATTAGCACAAGAATAGGAGGAATATTGGGGGGGCAGTCGATGTGTACAGGCCGCGGCTAAGAAAGGCCTTCTTTGAAGGCGCTGGAGCTAGTGTCTAAACCCTCCGAGAGGGCACAGGTTCGATTCCTCCCATGTCGAAACTTTGTGAGGACAAACGCGGCATAGCTGACCGGCTCAGCGCCAATCCAAGCCAATTCCTTCGGGAACGCCTAATAGAATCGCCAAGGCTTCGGCACAGGCCTCCCCGGGACCCATTCACTACTAGTGGGGGGTACTGCACTTGGCGCGTCGGGCAGATCAAATAATGGTCTAAAGCTAGACGTTAAAACCGGGAAGTGAAGCTTGTGGAGGCTCTTCCCCACCTTTACCTTTACCTTTTACAAGGCAATCGGTGTGTGGCGAGCGCCACGCAGCCTAGGTGGGGGCAGAGCGGCTGTGCCAGACAGCCGAGGCGCCAGGAGCGGAGGGAAGGCAGGGAAGAGCACCGGCAGGCGCAGGCGCAGGCTCTAACCCATCGAGTGGTCTTCAGCAGGAGGGCAGCGCCACGAGTCGAGCGGCACGGCAGGCAGGCCTGCCGCCCTGTGGGACAGTGGCGGCGGCGGTCGGCGTCCAAGGCTGCGGCGCTGGCAGCAGGCAGGCCCCCCCAGCGAAGCATGGGATGTCCAAGCATCATAATCTTCTAAGTCCTTTTCCAACTCAGCTGTACTGCATGTACAGCCTCTCCATGATGCCCTGCCCCCAGCCATCCACGCTCACTCTCCCCTTTCCTGCCCTGCCCAGCCCCGCCAGCGCGACCCCCCACGCCGCAGCCATGACGTCGGTGGTAGCCCCCGAGAAGCGCGAGCCCACCAGCCAGACCGAGGGCAAGTACAAGGAGAGCCTGCCTGGCGTGGTCAACCTGCCGCTGGATGAAGTGAGGATGGGGGGCGGCGGCAGGCTCCAAGGCTGCACGGGGCTGCAGGGGTTGCGTCCGAGGCGCTCCGAGGCGCCGGGCAGCTGGCTGGTAGCCCGGCCGCCGAGCAGGGGCAGCAGCTGGGCTGTGGTGGACCGGGACCCTGGCCCCGGCACCTGCCTGCCCTTGCCTGCTGCTGTCCAAGGCTGGTGTGAGCATGCCGCCGCCCGCCCGCCCTGCCGCCCGCCACGCGTGCCCGCCTGCCGCGCAGGTCAAGCAGCGGCGCTATGGCGAGACCCAGCAGGGCCAGGTGGGTGCGGTGGCGCTGGCGCTGGCGCTGGCGCTGGCGCTGGCGCTGGCGCCCGCCTGCGCGCGCGCGGCACGGCGTCCCCACGCCGCATCCCGTCGGTGGTGCCGAACCCAGCCAGGGAAGTTGGGCGGTCACCTGTTCCTTGTGCCTCGGCTGCGAGCATGCGAGCCTCCCATGCCAAGGTTGCCCCAGCCACAGAGGTGGTGGCTGCAGCCCGGCTGGCACACACTCGGGCTGGCTGCCAGCACTGGGCTGGCCGGCAGCAACGCCACACTCGAGCCCGCCACGGGTCCTCCGGCCTGCCGCAGCCAGCCCTGCCATGCCGCCACCCGTGTGCGAGGCGCTCCCCGAGGGCCCTCCCTGAGGCTCTCCCTCAACCCCCACCCCTCCTGCAGGTCAACCGCGCCACCTTTGTGCGCGTGGACTATGCGGGAGAGCTCGAGGAGGCGGTGAACCGGCAGATCGAGTGAGTGAGCCGGGGCTGTGTTGGTGGCGTGCGTGGCGACTCTTTGAGTGTGTGGGTTGAGGCTGCGGTTTCGCCCATCAGTGATGCTGCCGCCAGTGGGGAGGAGGGTGCCCGCTGGGCTGCGTGGCTGGGGCTCGCCCGCTCGCGGCACACCGCACCAGCGCTGCACGTGAACGCCGCCCTCCCACGCCACTGGCAGCCGCTGGCAGCCGCCTCCCGCCCAGCCTGCCGCGTGCCGCCGGCGCCTCGCCGCCCCCTCCTCCTCCCGCATGGCACCACTGCGCGCCCACCTCCCTGGGCTGAACCCACGCTCACTCCGTCCCTCCCACCCTCCCTGCCTGCCTCCCTGCCTCCCTCCCTCCCTCCCACTCCAGCCGCCTCCCACCCAGCCTGCCAGTGCCTGCCTGCCTTGCCCTCCCTGCCCCACAGCTTCGACTTCTCCCTGGGCTACACCCTGCTGGCCATGGCCGCCTACTTCGACAGAGACACGGTGTCCCTGCCCGGCATCGCCAAGTACTTCAGGGTGGGTGGTGCTGCCTTGGGGAGGGGCACGGCTTTAGGGGTACCGTGCCCTGCTTCCCTGTGTGCTGGGCGGGGCGCCTGCTGGGGGCACCGCCAAGCAGTTCGAGGTGGGTCTGGGGTTGGGGGACTCGCGGCGGCGGCACCCTCGTTTCTGGTTCCGTTCTGCTGCGAGAGGGTGGCTGGCGCCTGGGTGGCTGGCACCTGCCGGGCGGGGCGGGCTGTGCGCATTCTCCTGCACACATAGACAGGTACAGCCTTTGGACGCACGTTTTCTTACTCCCTTGCTGTCTCAACTCAGGGCGGGGACTCTGCGCTGGCAGTGGGCTGTCATACTGCGCTGCAGCTGCCACCGGCCGGCCCCCTCAGGCCTGCCGCTGGCAGCGCCGGGCAGCATGGCAGCCCGCTGGCAGCTGGGCCCTGCCTTGGCCTTGAGTGCTGCCTGACAGTGGCTCAGGCTGGCTGGCAGGCTTGCTGAGCGGTGCGTGCTGGCGGCATCTGTCAGCCACCCAGTCGGGTGCTCCCTCTCCATGCTTGCACCAGTGCCCGCTCGCCTCCCTCACCCAGCCCACTCTGGCGCCGCCGCCGCCGCTCCTGCTACGCTGCCCCTCCCTGCCTGCCTGCAGAGCATGTCCGAGTCTTCCTGGTCGGATGCCGAGAAGAAGATCGCTTTCCAGAACATGTGCGCCCGCTGGCCTGCCCCGTCCTTTCTTCCTTCCTTCCTGCCTCTGCCTGCCTCTTGCTGGCGCGCTCGTCGCTTGCCTGCCGCTGTGCACGTGCTGCCTCCCATGCCCGCTCCCAGCTGTATGCGTGCTCCCAGCTGCGCTCTGCAGCTGGACGCCCATCCTGCCTGCCTGCTGCCTCGCTGCCTGATCCCGTGCCCTCCTGGCCATCACGCCCAACTTTCTGTCCTCCCCTCCCTGCCTGTCCCTTGCCCGCAGGCGCGGCGGCAAGGTGCAGCTGATGGCGGTGCCCATGCCCGACTCCGACTACTACAACGCAGACAAGGGTGGGCGGGGGGAGCTGCTTTTTTGCTTTCTTTCCACCTTGTTAGCTTGTTTCGAACGGGGGGGTCTGCTGCTGCCGGTGCGGCTGAAGCATCCGTGGCTGCAGCTGCTACGGTCACTCCGGTGGCTGATGGCACACCCATGGCACGGGCGCTGGCAGGGGGGCAGCATCGCCATTTTAACCGCCTGTACCGCCCTTCCTGCGCCTGTACCGCAGGCGACGCGTTGTACGCGTTTGAGCTGGCGCTGGCGCTGCAGAAGCTGGGGCTGGACAAGCTCAAGGCGATGCACGGCCTGGCGGACCAAAGCGACGACTACCAGGTGGGGCAGGGGGCGGCTGGTGCTGCCGTGGCGGGGCTGCTAAATGTGGCAGGGGCTGACGTGGCGGCACTGTTCATGTCGGCAGCGGTCCTGGTGTGGCGGCGCTGCCGCGGCAGGGCGGCTGGTGCCGCGGGGCGCTTCCTGCGTGCGCTGCCATTGCTCCTGGCCCCTCGAGCAGCCCCGCTACCTGCCTTGCTCCGCATGCCCACCCACCCCACCCCCTTCCCTCTCCTCCCTGCCCTTCTCTGCAGGCCCAGGACTTTATCGAGGACGAGATGAGCTCTCTGGCCAAGACGGTTAAGGAGCTGGGTGACCGCGCCTGCGAGGTGAATAACAGGGTGGCCGGGGTGTTGCTGTGGTGGTGGTGGTGGCCCAGCTGCTCAGCGTGTTGTGTGTGCTGTTGTGGCGGGCCTGCCAGGTGAAGACGGCGGTGGCGGAGGTGGTGGGACAGAGTATGTGTGGCGGCGGCGGCGGGCTGGCGGGCTGGGCGCCAGCTGGCGTGCGCCCCTGTGGCGCTCGCTGCCTGCGTAGCACGTCTCCACCACCCACACCCTCCCCTGCAGCTCAAGCGCGTGGGCACCGGCCACGGCGTGTTCCATTTCGATGAGCGCATCGACAGCCTGTAGGCAGGTGTGTTGCAATAGGCAGGTGGGGGTGTGGCGGGGTTGTGGTGTATGGTTCATGGCTGATGGGCTTGCAGAGAACACACGGACGACCGCCATTGCCAGCTTCACCTCGTGAGTGTGTCCCCTCGCACCTTGCTGTCCCCTCACAGATCGATGGTTGGCGCCGCCGCCAGCCGGGAAGGGTGCTGCTCGTTGGCGGCACCCGAAGACAAGCCCTCTGTCCCCTCGTCAACAGCTGATCGCACCCGATGGAAGTTGATGGTTCCACGTCCAGCAGGCGTTTTGTAAATGTTGCAGGCCTGTGCAGCCGAGCAGGCATGCAGTGGGCCATTCAAGCGGCGATCCGTACCTCAATCAGTACCGCATCCTCCCCCAGGGGTTGAGGTGGGGCGGTGGAAGCCTCGTTTGCGCGTCTATTGGTTCACATCCACTAAGCGAAAGCATCGTGCCGGGATGGCAGAGAGCCAGGCGGCGAGCCACAAGCGGGCCAGGGGCGAAGGCGTGCAGAGGGCGCCCTCCGAAGAGCCAGACGAGGAGGCAGACAGCGGCGTGGCCATGGCAGTGGCTGTTTGGGGCAGTCGCTGCGGGGTGGCCTGGTTCGCGGACGGCCAGGTTCGACTGGGGTGGTGCCCCTGCGTGGCTGTAGGCTGCATGTTGCAGTTCGTGAAACGCGTGCAGAAAGGGAGAAAGAAGGGACCGCTTGGAGCTAGCCGACCCCCCGCCTGCTGCCGCCCGCTGGTTGACCGCCCCTGCTCGCCGCCGCACTCCCATCCTCCTCGCAGCTGTCTTGCATGGAGTCGGAGGACGACACCTCGGGCCCCTTCCGGCACCAGCTGCTGCAGCTGGCCAAGCTGCACGCCCGCCCAGCCGTCATCTACGTCAGCAGCAAGGCAGACGCTGAGCTTCTGCGGGTGCTGCGCTCGCCGCTGGCTGGCGCCGCGCCGCCGCCGCCAGCACCCAGCGGAGGCACCGGCGCCGCCGGCGACCACGCAGTAGCCGCCGCCGGCGAGTTTGATGTGCGCACGGAACGCAGCACGCTGTTCCTGCCACGTGCGGCACGGGCCATGCTGGAGGCAGTGCACGTGCGGGGCACCCCTCCCGGCCTGACCCCCCGCGAGCGCCTGCACCGCCTCAACGCCATGCTCAGCCTGTCCAGCGAGCAGCAGGTGTGCGCGGCGGGTGCCCTGCTGGCGGTCCTGGCGCGAGAGGGCCGGCTGGCGCCCGCCTCGGCCGCTTCCGCCGCCGATGGCGGCGAGGAGGCATCCGCCGCCGACGGAGGTACCGCCGGCGGTACCGCGGCAGCCACCATGGAGGTGGCCTCCATCGCGGAGGTCAGCCTGGACGGCTATCTGCTGGTGGACCCTGCCAGCATGGCAGCCCTGCAGATCTTCCAGCAAGAGGCCCACCCCGCCGCCGCCATGGGCATCGGTGGGTGGCTGCGGCAGCGCTGGTGGCGGCGTGCAGTGGGTCCGGGGTCGGGTCAGGCCCCGGTGCCTCGGCGCACATCATGGCAGGCTGCCGCAGCGGAATGGCGAAGGAAGCGCTGCGTCCCTGCTGCCGCGCTCGCCAGCCGCAGCGCTGGCTCGCCGCCTTCCACCGGCTCCACACCGCTGCCCCCAGCTGCCTGCCGCCCCGGCGTGCCCACCCCTGCTTGCCTACCGCCTGCAGGGCAGCCCAAGGAGGGCTTCTCGGTGTTCTCCACCCTCAACCGCTGCGTGACCGGCGCGGGCCGCCGCCTGCTGCGCCTCTGGTTCCGCCGCCCCATCGTCAACCTGGCTGTGCTGAGCGACCGGCTGGACGGCATCCAGTTCTTCCTCTGCCGCCCCGACGCCGTCAAGCCGCTGCAGTTAGGGTGGAGGCCGGTGGCTTGCTGGATGGGCCACTTCCACTGGCATGGAAGGGCAGCGGAGGGCCGGCTGCGTTTTGGAGGGGCACGGCAGCCTGCACAGTGTGCACAGGCCGCCGCCTGTTCAGCACCGAGCCGCCGCCTGCCTGCCCGCCAACCTGCCTGCCTGCCTGCCTGCTTGCCTCCCCGTGTTCCGTGCCCCGCCCGCCTGTTGGTCTGCCTGCCTGTGCCCACCCGCAGGGACATGCTTCGCAAGGTGCGGGACGCCCCGCGGCTGCTGGCTCGCCTGCAGGGCCTGCAGACGCTGCCCGACCGGGCCGACTTTCTGGCGCTGCAGGTGCGGGCTCGAGCGTGCGCAGTGGGCGAGTGGCGGGGCAGAGTGACACCCCAAGTGAAGCCTGCAATGCAGGCACCCGCCGTACTGCAGCACACGGCGGCTTGGCGCATGAGCTTGCTGAGCTTGTGCCCATGCGCTGCTGCCGCAGGCCAGCCTGGCGGGCACCCTGCTCCTGCGGGACATGCTGGTGGAACTGGCGCCGGAGGCAGCGCAGGCCTCGCTGGCGGCGGCGGCGGCCACCGGCACCGCCGGCGGCGCCAGCTGGGCACACGGCATGGCGGGGCTCGCGACCAGCCCTGCCGCGGAGCAGGGCGGAGGCTCGCCGGCCTCACAGAACCCGCACCAGCAGCAGGCGCAGCACCAGCAGCCCTCTTCCTCCGTGCCGGGCATCCTCTTCAAGGCGGCGGCCGTGATACGTCAGGAGCTCGTGCTGTGTGGGTGGCCGCTGGTTCCTGCAGCTGCCAGTTCCAGGCTGCGCCGCCCGCTGCTCAAAACATCCCCATCCCCACAGCAGCCTACCTGCTGCCGTCTGTGGCAGCCAGGGAGCTGCGCCTTGCGACCAGACAGGCAGCGCCGCGCCAGCAGCGCGTGCACCAGGCAGCGGAGTGCCTCCCCGCCTCCCCCTCCCTCTGCAGGCCACAACCTCATCTCTGGAGTCATCGATGGCAGTCCGGCGGCTGCCGAGGATGGGTTCATTATCTCCGCGGGTGTGCTGGCTGCTACATACTGCCGTTGGTTGAGCCGCTGCTGTGGGTGCGGCTGAACCCCATGTCTGCTTCCTGCTGGCTTCCAGACGTACTGCTGCACGGTGCAGGCGTCAGCCCCGAGCTGGACGAGCTGCGCGAGCAGTACCACGCCCTGCCCGACTTCCTCACCCAGCTGGTGGGTACTGCAGCAGTACTGTGCTTGCTCTGCTTATCTTTGATGCGCGCCCGCCTCCTGCAATCTTTGCTGCTGCTGCTGCTGCTGCTGTTGCTCCTCCTGCTGCTGCTGCTGCTGCTGCTTTGCGCACCCCCGCCGGCCTCCCTCCCTGCCGCAGCAACCCTGCTGCCTCCCCAGGTGGAAGCCGAGATGCGCCGCATCCCGTGCTCGCTGGCGGCAGGGGCAGAAAGGCCACCTCTGGTCCATAGTCTATCTGCCGCAGGTGGGCGCCTGGGGTCGGTAGCACGTCCATGCACGTCCATGCACGTATAAGATGGGGGGCAGGGCAGCCGGGGGTGAGCCCCCGCTGGACGGGAAAGGAGCTTAGCGGCCGGCCGAAGGCGCCGCGACCGCCACGTCAGCGCCCACCACGCCCGCGCTGCTCCCCCGCTGCCTGCGCTCGCAGGTGGGGTTTGTGGTGCGGGTGGAGGGCGGGCGGCTGGGTGCGCACCTGGAGGAGACACTGCCCGACTACCAGTTTGCTTTCGAGGGCGGCGTCGGCGGCGGGGAGGTGGGCGGGCGCGGCATCTAACAGCACAACTTGCCTTGGCAGACACAGCCGGGTGGTGGGCTGCAGCGGCGGGGAGGTGGGCGGGCGCCGCGTGGACCGCAGGCACCGGCCGCAGCTTTCACTGAGCCGTGCCTGAGTGACTAGGACTGCAGCCAGAGGGTCCGTGCCTGGCAGCACCACGCGCCGTGGTGGCGACCCGCGGCTCCGCCTGTCCCTGCGCCCATGCCCGCAGGACGGTCCTGGCGTGTACTACCACACCGACACCACCCGCCGCCTAAACGAGCGGTTTGGGGACATGCAGCACCGCATCCAGGCAGGCGGCGCTGTGCCTGCTGCGCCCTTCGGGTGCCTGCTCTGCCTGCTGCGCCCTGCCTGCCCTTTGCCTTGTCTGACACACGCCAGACAAGGCAGGTGCACACCTGGCCTGCGTGCCCGTTGGCCTGCTGGCGGGGCGGCCGCCTGCCGGGGCACCTGCCCGGCCGCCGCTGGCGGCGCACCGCTTTGCCGCTTCGCGGCCGCGCTTGATCGCCGTACTCTTACATAAATTAGGACATAATGAGTGTTTGGGATGGCTTATCATGATACCAACCAAGCCTCCGGCACCCGCCAAGCGCCAGCAGGACATGGAGGCGGGCATCGCGTGCCAGCTCATCGCCCGTCTGGCGCCCTACGCGCCCGACATCGCCGCCGCAGGCGAGGCGGTGGCGGAGCTGGATTGCATCCTGGGCCTGGCGGAGGCGGCGCGCCACCTCAACCTGTGCCGCCCGCAGGTGCGGCGCTGGCGGGGCCGGCGGCGGCGGCGGAGGGAAGTGGGCAGTAGCGGGCAGCGGGGGCCTGGCCCCCTGGGGAGGCTAGTGCCGCTAGTTCGGCTGGAAGGGCTTGCGTGGCCTGTGCAGGGCGAGGCTGCTGAGTGACTTGGGCTCCACGCCATGGAGGCTGCGGCTGGGGGGCCCAGTTGCCGCCCCGTGCCACGCTTTCCTCCCTATGCCGCCCCTCCCCCTCCCCCTGCCCGCCCTCCCTCCCCCTGCCCTGCAGCTGACCCGTGCCAACGAGCTGCGGATCGAGGGCGGGCGCCACCTGCTGACCGAGCAGCTGGTGGACACATACATACCCAACAGCACGCACATGCAGGCGGGGCAGGGGCGCATCCAGGTGTGGGGGGTGCACGCCGGGGAGGGCATGGAGGCAGGCAGGAGGCGGGCAGCGGGAGGCTGCGGCGCTCTGACGGCAGCACGCTGCGGCCGGCGGCTGAGAGGTGCGCACTGCCGACATGGATGGTGCCTGAAATGTGAGGCGCCCCCCGCTGCCGTGCAGGTGGTCACCGGACCCAACTTCAGCGGCAAGAGCTGCTATGCCAAGCAGGTGCCGGGGGCGGGCGCCGCTGCCGCTGGCTGCCGGCTGCTGCTGCCGCTGGGCTGCCGCTGCCTTTGGCTGGGGCCGCTCCTGCACTGCGCAGCACACGCTGCGGTGACAGCTGCGGTACTCCCTCCTGCCCAGCGTGGTACTGCCCTGGCTGCCGCTGCCCGCAGGTGGCCCTCATTACCTTCCTGGCGCACGTGGGCAGCTTTGTGCCCGCCGCCTCCGCCCGCGTCGGCCTCGCCGACCGCATCTTCACGCGGGTGGCCTCCCGCGAGGCGGCCGCCGTGCCTCAGTCCACCTTCATGATCGATCTCACGCAGATCGCCGCCATGCTGCGGCTGGGCACGGAGAGGTGGGCGAGGGGAGGTGGCGGGCGGTGGGTGGGCCGGCAGGTACACAGCAAGCCCATGGGCCAGTGGTGGCGCGATGCACGTGCCCGCTGCACTTCTCGTTCCACGGCATGCAAAGGCAGGGCGCCAGCCAGCCCGTGGTGTGCTGCACCTCCCGCGTCCTTTGCTGGTGCACGGCGCTGGAGGTTGCCCTTGCCGCTGCCAATCGCCGCCCGAGGCAGTGAGATCCTGCCCTGTCCTGCCCTGCCAGGGCGGTGCCTCTCGCAGCCGGCACCCAGCCAGCAGGGCTGCCCTGCCCCCCCTATGCGCCCCTATGCGCCCCGCAGGTCACTCTGCATCATCGACGAGTTTGGCAAGGGCACCCTGGCCGCGGACGGCGTGGGCCTGCTGTGCGCCACGCTGCGCCACTTTGCCGAGCTGCCCTGCCCGCCGCGCGTCGTGCTGTGCACGCACTTCAGGCGAGCGAGCGGGGGGCAAAGCGGCGGTGCTGGGCTGCATGGGAGAGACGACCTGTGCTGCCCCTCCGCACTAACTCTGCTGAGAAGCGTCTCCCGTTCTGCCTGCTATGCCGCCCCATGCTGTGCAGTGAGGTGCTGCGGCCGCAGTACCTGCCGCGCAGCCGGCAGCTGACCTTCCTGACCATGAGCGTGCTGGTGGAGGGGCAGCAGCAGGAGCAGCAGCAGCAGCAGCAGCAGCAGCAGCAGAGGCAGCAGGCGGACGGAAGCGGCGGCGCCGCGGCGCCCGCCGCTGCTGGCGCTGTGACCGGCGGTGGCTCCGCCGCTCCGCCCCAGCAGCAGCAGGAGGAGGGGGGCCAGAAGCTGGCAGCTGCCGAGCAGCTGGTGTTCCTGTACCGGCTGGAGCCGGGCCGCGCCGCCCCCAGCTTTGGGCTGCACTGCGCGCGCATGGCGGGCGTGCCGCAGGGTGTGCTGGATCGGGCGCGCCACGTCCTCGCGGCACAGGCGAGGCAGGCGTTGCAGTGACGCTTGGTGGCTCTGCCTGGCTGCTCGGGTTGAGACCGCTGTGCCCCTTGGGGAGCAGCCTCTTGCTTGCAATGGCTATGGCTTCAGCCCTGGCTGAAGCCTGGTTGCCCCTGCTCAGCTTGCCTGCCATGCCACCCCGCAGGCCAGCGGCGCCGCGGTGGGGCCAGATGAGACGGGGCAGCATGCGCAGCGGGCAGCGACGTACCGGGGGCTGCTGCAGCGGCTGGCAGCGCTGAATGTGCACGACAAGCAGGCGGCCCAGCAGCTGGCAGCCGCGGCGGCTGCTGCTGCCGCCACCTGACGGGTGCAAGGCGAGAGGGGCGGCGAGGGAGCGCCTGCGGCTGCGAGGCACGGCAGGGGGCAGTTATGGGGATGATAATTCTGGAGCAAATGTGCAATTATTCAGGCAGCTTTTAAAACTCAGAGCGAATGAGCTGCAGCCAAACCCCACAGGAGCATTCAGTCCCCGACTGCGCCGCCCCCCAACGCAGCGCCGTTGCCGCCGCCTTCCAAGCTCCCTTCGTTTGCATGCTAAGCCCAAAGATGCATGCATATGCATCCTCGCAGGCAAAGAGGGGGCCGCTAGAGGGGGAGCACCAGTGGGGATGGCGGCGGCATGCTGCCGCCATCTCGCCATGGCGCGGGTGCCCTGCCATGGCTGGTGGGGGGCCGTGGCCCGGAGGCCCAGCCCGCCCTCCCCCGCCCTCCCAGCCACTCTACGGCCTCCGGGATGTCCGGAGGTCCGCCGGCAACGCGGCAGGCAACGTAGCCCCCTGCTGCGGCTGACCACAGCGGGCGCCGGCGCACAAAAGGGGGCGCCGCCGCCGCTGGCACCTCATTCTCGCACTCCTCGCCGCAGCTCTCCCTGCTGTTTGTGAGGACTCCCCCGGCAACCGCTTGTGCCCTGTGTGCCTCCTTGCCCACAGCCCTGCCTCCCACCAAGATGGCCACCTCCGCAACCCTCTCCCTCGCCTCGGCACGCCTGACCTCCCCCGCAGGTGAGTGCAACAGTCTGCAGCGTGACGGGGAGCCCCGCACCTCGCCGCCTCCTCGCATGCTTGCAACGCGGCTGCCCATCTCACCATGCACCCTTTGCCCCACCCCTCCCTGTCACCTGCAGCCCACCTCAAGCTGCGGCTGATGTCGTGGAATGATGGCCAAGCCCTGCAGGCCAAGGTGAGGCAGGGCTGTGTGTGGGCGGGCGGCCGGCGCCGCCGCCCGCCGCCGGTGCCAACCAACCCTGTGCCGCCAACCGCCAGCAGCGGACTGCCTGCTGCCAGGCTCTGGTCCTGCCTGTGACTGCCCCCTGGCCGTGACTTTTGAAGCTTGTCCTTGGCCCTTTTCGCCTTCCTGTCTACACCCTTTCTCACCGCTCTCCGCTCCTGCTGCTCCCTCCACCCCTGCAGGCAGCCCTGGCGGCCACCTACTCCCGCACCTCCAGCTTCGAAATCCCCGCCCTGCAAGCTGGCCTGGCCGCCCTGGCCTCCCCGCAAGACATCTCTCTCTGGCCCTCCCTGTCTTCCGCCACCCCCGCCCCTGCCCGCGCACTTGCCGGCTGCTGGGCCACCCGCCAGCCCAGCATCCTGCCTACTCCCGCTCCCACCACCACCACCAACACCGCCGCCTGCGGCTGCCAGGCAGACGCCGAGGACGTGTTGCCTCGCTACTTCAACACCACCCGAACCTGCGACGACACCGCCCCTGCTGCCGACATGCACCAGGCGACGACCAGCGCATACCTGCCCCCCGCCCGCCGCCTCGGCGCCTCACCCGCCTCCCTGGCCGGCCACGTCTATCCCACCTGGAGCATCGCCGACATCTGCTGCCGCCACCAGGCGCCCGCTGTGGAGGCACCAGCTGCCTACGTGCCGCCGCAGCGCCGCACCCCGGCTGAGCAGGCAGTGGCTGCCACAGCTGGCCGCCCCGGCCGGCCCTGCACCTTCCCCGCGCTGACGGCGGGGCCGCTGCCCGAGAGGCCTGCACCCCTGCCTGCTGCTCCCATGTACCTGATGGCGCTGCAGGGGTGAGTGCGGGGGGTGCAGTGCCAGGGTGGACTGTGCTGCAGCTGAGCCTGCCTGTCTGCTTGCCTGCTGCAAGTCTCTGTCTCTGAGCCTCGGCAAGCGTTCAGTGGCTGATGCGCACCGCCTGCCTCCCCTCCTCCTGCTGCAGGCTGCTGCCCCAGCCCTCCTGCCCTGCTCTCTCCACCCCTGCTGAGGAGCAGGAGGCTGCTGCCGAGCCCGCGGGCACCACCACTCCAGCTCCTGCCCCTGAGGCACCCGCCGCCCCTGCCACTGCTACCGCCAAGCACCAGCGCTGCTCCTGGCCTGCGCCCCGCCCGATGGCGGCGGTTGTGATGGCCCTCTGCGGCCAGCGCAAGCAGCAGCAGAAGCCCTGCCGCCAGGCGTGCCACACCGTGCGTGCCCCCATGCCGGCCCACCAGCAGCAGCACAAGACCGCCACCCGCCGCTGCCACCAGCGCCAGCCCCGCCCCCGCGCCTGCTGCTAGGCTCGCCCTCCTGGCAGGGCAGGGGCTGCCGCCGCCTGGGTGTGCATCCCACCCCCGCCTCCTGCTGCACCAAGCAGTGCTGCCGCTGCGCCAAGCGGCCCCTTGATTTTGTCCTGATTGGTTCTTGATACTGCTGTTTGATTCTTTGTCGTCTTGAATTGAACACAAGTGATCAAACCTTTACTGTGAAAGAAAGGATGGGTGGGGAAGTGAGGTACTGTCTGGCAGCGGCGGAGCCGGCGGCGAGGCTTTCTTCCCTGCCTTTCTTCCTGCCCACGCAGCTCCAAAGCCGGGCTCCCAGCGTTTCTCTTGAGCACTGGCAGAAACCCACCCGGTCTCTGTGTGGCTGCGCAGCAACCTCTCTCACTCCAGAGACCCATGGCCGCCCCTTGGCAGCTGCTTCTGCTCCTAGGTTGCTGCCTGCTGGCAGGGGTGCAGCCTGGAAGGGCCGCGCATGTGGCAGCGGGCGGCAGCGCAGGCCGCCGCCTGCAGCAGGCGACGCCAGCGGCGGAGGAGGGTAAGCCTTGCCAGGGCAGCCGTCCAGCTGGGCAACCCTGCTATACAGGCGGCAGCAGTGCAGCGGCGCTCAGCAGGCTGAAGAACAACCCAGCTGAAGCCCGCCCGGCCTCGCCCGTCCTTCCGCCCGCAGTTGCCGCTCCGGATGCCGTGGACGGCGCCCCCGCCGCCGAGGGCTCCTGCCAGGCAGCCCTCAACTACTCTTCTGTCTTCATGCCGCCCTCGGCCCAGCTCCAGTTCAGGCTGTTTGGTGACTGGGCCCCGTGGCATGCCTTCTGACCGGCCGGCAGCATGGGGGGGGCAGTTCGCAGCAGGCACCGCTGGCAGCCGGCACCGCTGGCAGCAGGCACCGCTGGCAGCAGCACTAGGGCATCCCTGCCTCCCGTCAATGCTGCCCCGCCCCGCGGCCCCGTGCAGTGAATGGCACCCGCAACTACACTTGCTCCACCTTCACCCTCCAGTTTGGGCCCGCCATGGCGCTGAGCAGGGCCACCGGAGACTTTGCCTGTGGGCAGCCGAAGCCTGCCTGGCTTTACGTCCTGCGCGGCTCGGCAGGCTGGCGTCGCGCCATGGCTAGGCAGGGGCCGGCGGCGTGCCCATGCAAGGCGCCCACTTCCTGCCGCTGACCTTTTGCAGGCGTGGGATACTATGCCTCTCCTTTTGTCGGCTACGTCGATTGCTCCGACCCCGCCACCGGGCTGCCCGTGGGCAAGGTCACCCTGGACACCACAGTCCCGGGGGCAGGTGGGCGCAGGCCTGCGCGCCGCCAGCCTGGCAGCGCCAGCACCAGCGGCGGCGCCGTGCATTTAATGCAGGGTGCCTCTCAGAGGCTGGCAGCTGGTTGAGCAGCATGGAGCCTGAAGATGGCTGGCCCCGCCTGGCCAGCGCCAGCTGAGCGCCTGCACCTCGCCCCCAGGCCTGGGTCCCCCGCTGCTTCCCACACAGTGTTTGTGGCGCCGTCGCCCGATGCCGCCAGCGAGCCCTGGGGCAGGTTCAAGGTGACTACAGATGGCGCCCTGCCGCCAGCCAACTACATTGTGCGGTACAATTCGACTGGCGGGGTGAGCGAGGGACAGCCCTTGCCAGCTGCTGCTGCTGCCGCTGCCTCTGCCACTGACGTCTGACACTGGTGCAGGGCGGCATTGTTCTACCTGCCCGCCGCGCTCGAGTGGCAGCCGGCCGCTGCCCCCCTCCCCATGCGTGCGTGCAGCAGCGGCCGGCGCAGTGCACGGCACCGCGAGGGGAGTGGGTGTTGGTGCCCTTCAGCGCAGTGACAGACTATTACTGGTGCCCCTGATCGAGAGGGGGGTGCTGGGTAGCCTCAGCCTGCCGGCCGCAGCTACTGTGCGCATTGCACGGCCCTGCGCCGGCGGCGAGGGAGCGTGGGTATGGAGTCAGCAGAGGCGCAGCGCCGCGGGCGAGGCGCCCCAGCGTTTTCATTGCGACTGCAGCTTGTGATTGCATCCTGTGGTGTCGGGAACAACTCAATGTCTTGGCGCCGCTGCAACGATGATGCCAGCACCACCCCCAGCATTGGGCGGCGGCGCCACGCCGGCGCCGCGGCGGGGGTGAGGAGGAACGCAGCCAGGGCAGTTCAGACCCCTGCATGCTGTAGAGGGCAGGGCTCTGCGCCGTGGTGGGGCACAGCGGTGGGGCTCGCCGGTGCTGCTGTCAGGGGGAGGCGAGGAGGCACCCTCCGCCGCACTCGTCTCTCCTCTCTCAACATTTCCTTTAAACCCAGCTGCTGTTACAACATTGAATGCAGCGGGTGAGGTAACACTAGAGGTTGCGGAGTGACAGCCGATTCAATCCCTTCCTCTGCCCGCTCAGCACCAGCACAACACACAACACGTAGGCACCTGCTCAGCAGCAACCTGTGTGGGTTGCGTTGCAGCCCACGAGCAAAGCAGGGTTGCCAGCCGTGTGTCCCGCGTCAACCATGCGCCTCCTCACAGCTCTGCCAGCAGCGTGCCGCGGGCGGGCAGGATATCGAGCTGCGCTGCGTTGAAGCGGGGGCTCCAGGCAGAGTCCAGAATGAGCTGCAGGGGTGCACAGATGTGGGATGCTTTAACGGGGTTGCAGCGCACACGCAGCATGTGCTGCGCCTGGCAAGCAGGAGCGGAGCAGCCCGGGAGAGGCCGCCGGCGGCGCCAGCGAGCCTCCCTGCCCAGCGGCGGCACCTGGTGCCCCACACAGCTGCTGGCAGGGCAGCCGGCGGGCGGCTGCGGGAGAGGCAGGCCCTGTGTGACAACGCTGCACCCCTCTGTGGTCCCCATGCACATGCAATGTACATGCGGCTGGGCCGCACACCTGCGCTTCTTCCAGGATTGCCGCATCGTCCTGCCCCAGCAGCCCCCGCATCAGGCACACCATGCACCGCCTGCACACCTCGTCGGCCTGCAGGCATGCCGGCGCAGGAAGGCACGCGCCGGAGCGTCGGCGGGCACGCGGGCCGGCCGGCGTGAGCGGCTGAACGACTGCCAGCGCTGGGCGGGCGCACAAGGGACGCGAGGGTCGCGGGCTGGTTCGAAGACCCTGCCCTGCCGGGGCCCTGCCGGGGCCGCCCATTTGCCAGCTGCAGCCGGCGCCAGAGGCTCCGAGCACTGCAGTGCCGGTAGCTAGCTCGTAGCCTGCCATAGGCAGTCGCACACCTGCGCCGCCGCCGCCGCCCGGTCGACGTAATACTCCTGCCGCCGCACGATGTGCAGGCAGCAGCGGGAGCAGCCCAGGTCGCCCGCATGCACCGACGCGTGACGCGGCACAAAGTACCATTCCTGCTGGCGCAGGAGGGCGAGAGTGCGGGTGAGCGGGGAAAGAGTGGCCCGGGGGAAGAAAGGCGAGTGTGGAACCCAGGAAAGGCGGTTTGGGTTGCGGGGGGCGAGCTGCAGTAGCACATATCAGGCATTTCATGTTGCAGCTGATGCATGCCGAGCTGTCCAGCTGCAGCGTGGAGGCTGCGGTGGAGCTGGCAAGGCGGAGCTAGCCAGCCGGAGCGAACTAGCCCTCTGGGGCGGCTTGCCTGCGCGGCGCGCGTGCCCCGCCGCCGCTCGCCCCGCTTGTTCAGCACCAGCAGCGCGGCGGAGAAGGCGGCGTGGTCCTCAAAGTCGCAGGCTGCCGCCGCCGCGCGCTGCTTGGCCTCCACCTCTGCTTGGGGCAGGCAGGGAGGGCGGCAGCGCATGGCCGGCGTGAGCGGGAGCGGGAGGGCTGCGCAGTTTGCCAGCACCCAGCTGAGCGACAAACCAGCAAAGGGGAGCGATCCACCTGCTTGCCAGCGGCTGAACAGTGCGTCCACGGCGGACAGTTCCTTGAACAGGCTGGAGTGGAGCTGGTGAGCGGGCGGGGCGACGGGGCGTGTGGCGGTGGGCAGGGCCGCCGAGGCCGACGCGCCGCGGCGCGCGCTGGGCGGCGGGACTTGTAGCAGCTCTCCGAGGGTGATCAGAGCGTCGTCCGCGGCCATGGTGGAGGGCCTCTAGCCAAGGGTTGAGGTTTCGGACAAGCGCTGCCAAGCACAAACCCAACTCCCGGCGGCGAACGCTGGGGTGCTGACACGAGACGCGATTGCACGACGATCCGGGAGCAGGAACCCCAGCAATGAGGCCGGGAATGGCGACTTTCTTGCGGGGCAAGGAACAACCCCACAAGCGCGCCTGCTGGCCCCCACTGTCGGATCGGCTGCCCACCGGTTTGCAGATGACCACCACGGTCGTTCGGAGGCCGGCAATGGTCGCAGTGCTGTCCGCAGCTGCGGGCAGCGGGATCGGGGAGCCGATGCTGGCTCAGGTGAGGGCCTGGGCGCCTGCTGCGTGCCTGGACGATCGGCAATGTGTGAACGCAGCCCGACTAGGGGTCTGCACCGTCCAGTAGTTTGAAGCAGTCGCAGCTGGAGCACCCCACAGCTGCTGCTGCCACTCCTGCTGCCACTCCTGCAGGTGCACCTGCCCCTGTCTGTGCTGGGCTGCAGCCAGACCACGGTGTGGGATCTGGGGCAGCTGGGCGGCGGCGCCGCCGCCCCGCTCGCCGCCGGCGGCGGCCACAGCGCCAACCTCGCCGCTCCCGAGGCTGCAAGCGCTGGCAGCGGGGCTGAGGACTGCTGCTGGCATGTGGTGGGCGGCCGCCGCGCCTTCCCTCTGCCGCCAGGCTACAGGTGAAGAGAGAGAGAGAGATGGAGGGAACGACAGGAGCAGGCGGTGCCTGTGCCATCGGCCATTCCTGCACCTCTCCCTGCCAGCGACCCTGTGCCTGTATCCCTTGCCTGCAGGGCCAGTTGCACCGCCTACGGCCAGCGCTGCACCCTCGCGATCGAGCCAGGCGCCTGCGGCAGCTGCGGCGGCAGCAGCAGCGGTGGTGCCAGGGGCCGCTGCCCCTGCGCAGGCGCCCGCCCCCCGACGCGCTTTGTGCTGCGCACGGCGACGGGCGGCGTGTTTGCCGGGGCCACCCCCACCGCGCCCCTCGCCCAGCTGGCGCTCCACCTGGGCCAGCCTGCGGTGGTGAACGGCTTGGAGGTGAGGGCCGGAGCGCCACACGAGTGCTGGCCTGCTGCAGGAGCCTGCCTGCCAGACTTGCACCGGCTTGTTCTTTCGAGTTGCAGCAGGCAAGCGGGCCCACCGGCGGGCGAGGTTGCCTCCCAGCTGCCGCCTGCCAGCGCTGCCACCTACAGCCGCGCCCGCCCTCCCCGCTGCCTCCCGCCCCCCAGGCCTTTGGCCTGCTGGCCCCACCGGTGCAGCAGGCACTACGGGGCGCCGCCGTCGCCGCAGGGATGCCGCTGGATCAGCCTGTGGCACAGCAGGGTGTGCAGCGGGCTGCCCTGCAGGCCTGGCCTGAGCTCCCGCAGCAGCAGCCACGGCAGCCAGAGGGAGCGGGCACGGCGGTACCGGTGCGGTCGGTACCGCAGGTGCCGCCGGTCCCTCAGCTGCATCTCAGCCGGCACCAGCGCTGCGCCCACCCGGCCGCCCAGCGCGCCGCGCCACTGGCTGCCGCTGCCACGGCCACTGCGCCGGCGCCGAGCGGCGGCGGGCAGGCGGCGGCGCCGCCCCGCCGCTCCTCTCGCCCTCTGCTCGCCCGAGCGGCATCGGCTCCCCAGCCCCACACCCGCTCGGAGTCTCCTCTGCCGGCGCCCGAGGCCGCAGCTGCAGCAGCGCTGATCAGCCCATTCGCAGCAGCGGCGGCAGCGAGCCGCAGCGGCAGCGGCAGCGAGGCGGCCGCCGCAGCCGGCGGCGATGGAGGGCAGGGCGGCGCGGCGCGGCGGGCCCGGCGCCAGCGCCAGCGGCCGCAGCAGCACGAGGCTGGCAGCGATGGCGGTTCAGGGGATGGGGAGCAGGGAGGCATGCCAGTGGTGGTGGCAGGCAGGAAGGTGCGGGAGGGCTGTGGGCTGCAGGCAGATGAGGAGGAGAGGGTGGTAGCGGAGGTAGCGGAGCTGCTGAGCCGCGGCCCCGCCTCCTCCCGGCCCCAGGGCCAGCGCAAGGCCGGCGCAGGTGCGACACACCCCTGTCAGGACTGCGCCGCCGCTGCCGCCGTTGGCTGCCACCGCTGGCTGCCAGGGCTGGGCGCATGCTCTTTTACTTTTGTATGTTGCTCCACATCGTCATTGCTGCTGGCTGCCAATTGGGCCAAAGCTGCCGTTGGCTGTGCAGCACCCAATGGCGGCGGCCGCGGCTGGACCGCCTTCACCGCGTACGGGTGCCAGCACAGGGAGGAGGTGCGGGCCGCCCACCCGGGGCGCTCCGCGAGCGAGGTGGAGAAGGTGAGGGGGTGCCGTGTGTGCGTGTGCGTGTGCGCGCGCGAATGCGCGAGAGGGCGTGTGGTGTGTCAGAGAGAGAGAGAGGGAGAGGGAGAGAGGGGGGCAGGATCGTGTCGGCGGCAGCAGGCAAGTGAGCCAGAGGTGGGGCTCGCGCTCGCGCCCCGCCCGCCCTCCCCTTGGCAATGGGTCCCAGCCACCCACGCGCCACCCACACACCCACACCGCCCCCGCCTCTGTGCAGCTGCTGGGACAGCGCTGGGCGGCGCTGCCGCAGGCGGAGCGCCAGCACTACCAGGCTGTGGCTGCCAGGGTGCGCACCGCGCACGGCGGCGGCGACGGCAGGTGCGGGAGCGGCGCAGATGTATCCGCTGCCGCTCCTCTGGCTCCCTTCGGTGCCCTTTCAGCTCCCAACCAGGCCCGCGTCTCGCTACCACCGCAGCCCCCGCTCCCGCTGGCCAGCAATGCCCCTCATACCACCCGTGGCTGTTCTCTCTTCCCGCAGGGGCGGTGCAAGCGGGGGCCGCCTGGCGGGCGTGCACCGCTCACAGTCGGAGGGCGCCGCTGCAGCCACGCCGGCCACCAGCAAGCCCGAGGAACGGCCCCAGGTCAGCGCCCCAGCCCAGCCCAGCCCAGCCCAGCCCAGGGCGTGCAGGTGGAATGGGCACCAGCGTCAGCATAAGGGCTTGCACGGCCCTAAGCAGGCGCCTCCCCTTCCTGCCGCCCTCCCCCTGGCTGCAGCGCGCCGCCCACCCCAGCCGCTATTTCCAAGGCCTGTTCGACACCAGCCTCGGTGAGCCTCCAGGCGGCAGGAGCAGCTGGCTCTGTGGGAGCACAGGGGTTGTGCGCTCAGCACCGCACACTTGGCCATGTGTGGGCCATGTGTGCAGCGCTGCTGTGCTAGCAGCAGCGCTGAAAGGGCTGCCGCTGTCATGACGCCGCTGGCATGCAGACGAGGAGGGCGCCGGCACGCGCGACGGCGGCGGCGGCGGCAGGCTCGAGGCTGCGGGCCCGGAGCGTGCGGCGAGCCTGTGAGCAGCCTGCGGGGCAGGCTGCCGTCTGCTGGTGGGGTGGGAGGCGAGCGGGCACCCAGGCCCTGAGGCACGCCTGCTGCTGTCTCCTGCCCCTGCCCCTACCCTGCAGCACCTCCCTCAAGCGATCCAGGAGTCAGGGCGGCGCCAGCGGCGAGGTCGGCGCCTCCAAGCGCAAAGCAAGTGAGCCGCCGCCGGGCCTAGGCCAGCCTGGCCCGGGCGCCCACACTGTGGCAAGCGCTCTGCCGGGACTGGTCCTGGGGCTGCCAGCGGTCAGCGCCATGTGTTTCCACCAGCCACTGCTGCCTCCCTGCGATGGCAGGCCGGCCGCGCGCCTCGGCGCCCGCCGACGTGCCGCCCAGCGCGTATGGCGCCGGCATGCTGGGCCTGCTGGCCGGGATGGAGGTGGGCGAGGCGCTTGCGGCAGAGCTGCTGGCGGCGCCCGTGACCTCCTCGTAGGCAGAATAGTGTGGCTGTGCCTGCAGTGGAGCCGGGCAAAGCAGGTGTCGAGGCAGGCGCTGGCGGCCTGTAGCGACAGGTATGCATCAGCTCAGGTTACAGCTCAGGTCGTGAACCTATACGGGGCAGCTGGGCTGCACGCAGGCGGGCCGCAGTGATTTTGAGTAAGTACTGAATACTTCGATACAATACTGGAAAAAATCGAAATATGTAACACCGCTCCCGTGTGGCTACGAAGAGAGGCACGCTCACGCCTGCTGGCTGTGGCGGTGCGCGGGGATGAGGCCGCTGCCCGCCTCTGGTGCCGCTTCCTGCTGCGGGCCCAGCGCCGCCTGCGACTGCTTTGCTTCCAGGGCCGCCACCGCCAGCGACACACCGCTGCCGCCACCCTGCTCCCCTGCCGCCACTCCCGCCGGCACTGCTTTTGCGTTTCCTCCGCCACTTGCTGCCTCCACGCCTGCAGCACCGCTGCCGCCACCCTCCTCCACTCCCGCTGCCGCTCCGGCCGCCCCTCCTTCCGCCTCGGCCTCGCCGCCTCCGCCAGCTGCGGCCGATCCACCGGGGCCCTCGCGTGCAGCCCCGCCTGTACCGCCGGTACCATCCGCCGCCTCCAGCTCAGCGATGCGCTCCAGAATCTCCCGAGGGCTGTCATCTTCGAAGATGTCGGCATCCTGATCCGGCAGGGGCGTGTGGAGTGCCGCTTCCAGCATGGCACGCACCCAGTCATGAGGCTTGGCCATGCTGCCCCGCCTGCTGCCCTGCTGTGCACTCGCGCACCCGCCGGCACCGACGGCTCCTCCGCTGCCGCCGCGTGCAGCCTCCGCGCCACCCTGGCCTGCAGAGCTGCCGCCGGCGCCTCCCCCGGCGCCGAACGCTGCCTCTCCCTGCTGCTGCTGCTGCTGGGCCTGCAGCAGGGCAGACAAGGCCGCCTCCAGGCGCCGCTCCAGCACGTCGGAGCGCAGCGCGGAGCGCTGCTGCGCCTGCAGCACCGCCGCCTGGCGGCCACGCTGCAGCTCCTCCAGCTGCTGCTGCACCTGCGGGCAGCCGGCAGGGCAACCCAGCCGCTTTCATGCAATGCAGGAGGCCGAACAGGCCCGCTCTCGCCAGCCCAGCTGCAGGCAGGCGGAGGCCCCCAGCATGTGGTGTACACCCACATCGCTTGCTGCACCGCTCCTGGTATCCACCCACCCGTTCCAGCCGCTGCTGCGTTACCTCCAGCTCCCACTCGCACGCCCGCGCCTGCCGCTCCGCCGCCGCCAGCCGCGCCTTGGTGGACGCCAGCGCGGCACGGTCCCGCTCGGCGCCGGCCACCTGCTGCCGCAGGGCGTCGGCCTCCTGGACGGCCTGCAAGCAAGGCGGCAGGCGTGCCGCATGGCCAGGCAGGCACCACAGGCATGCAGAGGCAGCTGGGTTGGCAGCAATCTTCGGTTCTAATCGGTGCGAAGGCACACACGCATGCAGGCATACACGCCGGGCCCCCTCCCTTTCCCGCCCGGCCAACCACCACCCACCGCCACGCCCCCCCTGCCCCTCACCTTGCTCAGCGGCCCCACCAGGCTCCTGTTCTCCCGCACCACATCCCCCACCAGCTTCTCCCGCTGAGCCTCGGCCGCCTTCATGTCCGCTATCTCCTCCTGCCAGCAGAGGCGGGGAGGGGCAGGGAGGGGCATGTCCAGGCAGTGGCGAGCAGCACAGCGCCAGCGTAGGCGGGGAGTGGCAGGGAGGGACATGATCAGGCAGTGGTGAGCGGCAGTGGTGAGCGGCGGCGAGCACGTCACACGGGCGCCAACTGCCAGGTAGTGCCAAAGGCGTTGCCCTTGTACGCAGGTCCAGGGCTTTTGGGAAGCTGCTCGTGGCACGGTCTGGCAAGGGCGGCTGCGCGGGCGTGCCAGCCGCGCCCCGCCTCACCTTCAGCGCCTTTATGAGGTCCAGGTTGGCCAGTGTGACCTGTGAGTAGTAGGCGCGCATGCCCGCCACCGCCTCCTCGTGCGCCGCCATCAGCCCAGCCACGTGCGCCGCCCGCCGCTCCTCCAGATCAGCCAGGTCTGCGGCGCGGGGTGGGGCGGGGCAGGCGGGCAGGGCAGGGCAGGTGGCAGGTGGGGCAGGGTGGGCCCTGTGCGCCGCCCTGCTCCGCCAGCCAGCGGTGCAGCTGCAGAGCCCTGCACCGCATCCACCGCCCTGTGAATCACCCCCACCCCCAACGCCCCCACCACGCGGCCTCCACACCCCCGTGCCCACCCGCCGCGTAGCTCTCCTCCGCCGCCGCCTGCAGCGAGCGCAGCTGGGCCTCGTACTTGGTCTGTATGGCGCGCGCCTGCGACTCAAACTCCTGCCGCAGGCGGCTGACCTGCTTGGCATTGTCCAGCCTGCGGCTCAGGGCAGGGGGCGGGCAAGAAGGCGGGCGGGGGTTGACGGCGGCGGGTCAGCCAGCAGGATCCACCCTCCTTGTGAGTGCTGTGCTGATGTCATCATTTGCATCATGCTGTGTGGGCGCGGCAGTGCCGAATATCCTGCTGCCTGCTGCCGGCTGCCGGCTGCACCGCTGCCTGCTGCCCCTGCGGCTCGCCGCCAGGGGCCACCAAAGCGGGGCCCACAGCCAGCCCCGCGGCCACCTGAACTGCTTGATCAGCTCCTCGCTGGACAGCTCCTGCTCCCGCACGTGCTGGCGCAGCCGCCGCTTGTCGTCCGCCAGCTGCGCCTCTTGCGCCGCAAACACCTCGCCCTGCGGGGCGCCGACACCAGTGCATGCGTGTTGGGGGGGATCCTCGGAGAAGGCAGGGAGTGTGTGGCTCAGTTGGAAACGCGGGTGCTCTAGTGGTACTGCCGATGCGCAGCCCTAGCCCTGGCCTGCCAGGGCCTCGCTGGCCCTGGCCTGTTGCCGCCCCTGCGCCGGCGCCGCCCCTAGCTACACCCCAGCCGGCTGCTGCCCCGTCCCGCCCCGCCCCGCCCACCTGCTGCTTCAGCGCCACCTCGCCGTCCGTCTTGAGGCGCGCCACGTGCGCCTGGTGGGAGTACAGCAGGTGCTTCACCCGCTGCTTGTACACCTTGAGCTCCAGCGCGTGGCGGTCCTGCGGGCAGGGAGGAAAGCGCGGCGCTGCCAGCGGCATGATGCGACATGGTGGCGAGGAGGCCAGCAGCCACCACCCTCCCCGAGCCGATGCACCCGGCGCCCGGCAGCCGCGTGCCACTCGCAGCCGCGGGCTGGAGCGCCGCAGCCGCCACCCGCCCATCTCCCCATCGGCCCCACCTGCTCCTCTTCCAGGTCCCGATCCTTTGTGAGCAGCTCGGAGCGGGCGTCTCCCAGCTCATGCCTGGTTATGTCCCAGAAGGCCTGTACCTTGTTCTGTGCAGCAGGCAGAACGGCAGGGTGGCGCTGGGGATCAGCCTTTGGGAGGTCGGCGAGGCAGGCAGGCGCACGGCGCACGGCGCCCTGGGGCCTGCCAGGGCTGGGAGCGGCGGCATGCGACCGGTGCAGCGGCCCGCACCCGCTCCAGCTGCATCGCATTGCGTGCCAGCTCCTCGTTGCGCAGGCTGCGCTCCAGCGCGTCCGCCTTCTGCTTCAGCTCGTCTGCAGCCGCCGCCGCGCTGGCAGGCACCTGCGCCGCTAGCGCGGACTTCTTGCCGCCGGAGCGGCCGCCCACACCGCTGGCGGGGCGGGGCGCGGCCGCCGACTCCCGCCGCGACTGCAGGTGCGGCGAGGTTGGTTTGAGGCATTGGATTGCACGTTCCGAGGGCTCCTGCCCGCCTGCGGAGGTTTCGGGCGCCGGTCAAAGCAGCTCACCGGACTCTGCGGCTTGGGAGGCATCGCCAGAGTGTCTATAGCTCGCAACCGATTCGCATTGCAAGAGGAACAGGTGAATTGGAGCCTCCGGCATTCGCCAGACAGGCGCCAGCTGTCCAGAGAGTACCGTTCGTACATGGTGGCTATTGGTGTGATTCAGCCTCAGAGGCCTGTCGGTAGTTGCATAGCCCAATGGGCGCCCTTGCAGCAGCGCTGGGCTGATGGGCGATAGCGTGGGCGGTCTCGAGGAGGTGCCCCCAGCTTCCAGCGGGCCGGGCCGCACCCTGAAATGGACTACCAGGTGCGACGATGCCGATGATGCAGCGGAGAGGGTCACAGGCAGCAGGCGGGGCGGACCTGGACACTGTCATGGGCCCTAGCCCCTTGGGCTGGGCGAGCAGGCCTCCCAGCTGCAGAGTGGAGTAACGCGCTGCAGCAGCGCCGCCGCGCTGTCCTGTCCACGCACCGGTGGTCAGCGCCACCCGCCGCCGCAGCCGCCGCACGCGTGTCCCTCGCGCTGCCGGTGCAGGGTGGAGGAGGCATACGAGGCGGCCCTCGAACAAGTGGGAGGCCTGGAGGCCGCCAAGCCCAAGTCGGTGCTGGACCAGATGCGGGGTGGGTGCTTGCATTGCCAGCACTGCACACGTGGCGCCGGTCATGCCACACTGCCGGCCGGCCCAGTTCCCGAGCGGCTGGCTGCCACGCCACCTGCTGCACCATGCAGGCGAGTTCCCCAGCCTCACGCTCCAGAGCGTGAAGTGGAAGCTGCTGGCGCACCGCCGACGCGTGGAGCGGCACAGGGTGATGGAGCCGGCAGGCATCACCCCGCCCACCAAGTGGGCCGGCAGGCGAGTGGCGGAACGCCGCCGCTGCTGCCGCCGCCCGCTGGCGGCGTCGCCTGCGCCGCCGCGGCACGCAGCACTTGCAGCTCAGTGAACCCGAATCTGCCGAGTCTCGGGGCTGTGCATGGGATGTCAGGTGGCCCATGTACTCGCCGTACCGCCTGCGCATCGCCGTACCGCCTGCAGGCTGGAAGAGGTGTATGAGGCGGCGGTGGCGCGGCTGGGCGGCCTGCAGGCCGCACGGCCCAAGGCGCTGCTCGAGGCGCTGCTGCCGGAGTTCCCCAGCATGACGCTGCAGGCAAGCTCCGGCAGGGGGCAGGCGATGCCGCGGCTGCTGCCCGCCACCATGGCTGCCGCACCTGTGTTGCCAGGCGCGCGTCTGCCACCTGCCCATATGCCCTGGCCGCCCCCACGCTGCGGCCTTACAGGTGGTGAAGGGTCACGTGCAGAAGCAGCGGCGGCGCGTGCAGCGCCAGCAGCAGCCCGAGGGCAGCGGGTCGGCGGATGGCGGGGCCCAGGCCACCCCACCACACGGGTCGCCGTCGGTTGCGGCAGCCATGGCTGCGGCGGCTTCTGCCGGTGCTGCCGGGGGTAGCGCCACGACGGCCTCAAGCATGCAGGTGGATAGCTTTGGGGTAGGGGCCGTGTCCGCTGTGCAGCAGCTGATAGAGGAGCCGTCGGAGGGGCAGCTGCGCCTCCCGCAGCAGCAGCAGCAGCAGCAGCAGCCACACATGCCGCGACCCCAGCGGCACCGGCAGCAGCCCCAGCAGCAGCAGCAGCAGCCTGGAGACGAGCCGCAGCGGCAGCAGCCCTCGCTGCTCCCCGAGCCGCAGCGCCACGCGCTGCCCCTGGCGGCGCCGCCATGGCAGCCATACCTGCCGCCCGCCGCCCAGCGAGCAGCCGCCAGGGCCAGCCGCGCCGCGCTGCTGTGCCGCCAGGTGAGCGCCCGATTCAGGGCTTGATGGCACAGAGTTGGCCTGGGATCGTTGCCCGGCAGCGCCCGTACTTGTGTAATCTGTAAGAGCTCGCGGGCACTCGTGGCTGGTTTGTTTCTGGCTGGCTGAGGGCCGAGGCTTACCTGCCCCACACACATCCTCCCTCTGCAGATGGTGGTGCTGTTGCAGCAGAATGAGGAGCGGCTGGCGAGGCTGTTGCAGGCGCTGGAGCAGCGCCAGCGGCGAGAGGCAGCGCTGAGCGGCCTGGCAGGGCTTGGCACCAGCGGCGGCGGCGGCGGCAGCAGCCTCAGCAGTGTGGTGGCGGAGCTCACGCCAGACCTGCAAAGAGTGTTGGAGTGGCTGCTGCCACGCGGCATGGCGGCGGCGGCAGCCTCCCGTTGTGACAGCAGCGGCAGCGGCAGCGGCAGCGGTGGCGGCGTCGGGTCCGGCCCGGCCCTGCCGCTGCGGCCGCGCCCGCTGCCCGCGAGAGCCTCCCGGCAGCAGCGCAACCTGGCTGAGATTGCGGGGTCGTTCACTCTGCTGCCGCAGCACACGGTGCCGCCGCAGGGGTCCCGCCACGACGCGGCCACCTGCGCCGCCCCCGCCTGCCCCGTGTGCGCGTATGAGCGGCGGCTGCAGCGGTCGCGTGAGCAGCGAGACGTGGCGCCGCTCCCACCCGACGCGCGCTCCCCACAGCAGCAGCAGCACCACCAGGGCACAGGGGGCACCTCCAGCGGCATCCCGCGCATCCTGCCCGTAGCCGGGCCGCCCACCAGGGTGCTTGCGGAGCTGCTTCAGATCCCGCAGGCGCTCATGCAGCCGCCGCCGCACTAGGCAGGAACCAGGCAGGACACCGTAATACAGGTGCTATATGTAACTGTTCATCGCCTTTCGTTCATCGTTTGTTATTTCATATTCTTTATTTCCACCGCCCACTGTTTTTTACATACTTGCCGAATGATCACAACAGTGCAATTCAGTTCCCAGTATGTCCGGGGATCAAATTCCAATAACAAATTCCAATCACAATTCCAGTCACAATGCCAGTTGCAGTTCCAATCGCAGTCAGTCACAGTTCCAATCGCAGCTCCACCACCAGCTCCACCACCAGCACCACCACCAGCTCCACCCTCAGAAGCGGCGCTCCACGAGGCCGTACATGAGCAGAGCGCCCAGGTAGGCGCCCGCCAGCGTGAAGCCGGCTTGGAACACAAAGGCGGCCAGCGGGGCGGCGGCGGTGAGGGCGGGCAGCAGGCCCGGGGGCAGCACGTACAGCACGATCCAGTACCGCGCCAGCTCGTGCAGGAGATAGATGCTGTACGAGAGGTCGGCCAGGTGCTTGAGCGGCGCGCTGCCCAGGGCGGCCGTCATTGCGGCGTGCACCGGGTCGGACCGCAGCATGAGCGCCAGCAGGGTGGCGCAGATGGCGGCCGCCACAAAGGGAGAGCCCCACTGGAAGAGGGCCAGAAACACGCGGGTGGTGGCGGGGTGCCAGGCCTGGGTGCCGGGCAGCCCCCCCCACGCGCTCCACCCCAGCGCCAGGTACGTGCAGGCGGCCTGCAGCGCCAGGGCCACAGCTCCCACCAGGACGCGCCTGCGGGGGCGGCACCAAGCAAAGCGGCGGCGGTCAGCTGGGGGGCGACGTGTGCTCAGCATGCACTTGCATCCGATGGCGCAGGTGGCAGCCTCTTGCAGCAGCCGGCTCGCGATTCAGGCTGACTCAGGCGTGTGGCGCCTCACAGCCCGGCTGCCCGCCAACCGTGCCTGGCCCGGGCTGCCCTCACCTGGTCCCCAGCCAGCGCAGCGCGCCCGGCGTGCGCAGCGCCAGGCCCAGCAGCGCGCCCAGCGCCAGCTCAGCGGTGCGGGCCTGGGTTGGAAAGTAGGTGGCATAGGTGACAGAGGCAAAGGCTGCCGCCTCCTCGGGCAAGGCCAGGTCGCCGAAAGGCAGGTGCAGGGAGGGCGGCGCCACCGCCACCGCCCAGCAGCGCCAGGCGACGCTGGCGGCCGCGGCGGCCGCCAGCGCGGCCGCCACGCGGGCGCGGAAGCCCCGGGCGCGCGGCCGCAGCGCGCAGAGCAGCAGCGGGAAGGCAAGATAGAATTGCGCTTGCACCGCCAGGCTCCACAGCTGCCGCCCTGCAGGCTCCAGGGGAGGGGAACCAGTGTGGCAACAGGACCTCGGCTGGGGGCAGGGCTGCAGGGTGCGGCGCCCGCGGGCACAGCGGCAGCCGTGGCCCGCTTGCACGCCGGCCAGCCAGCCAGGAGGCAGCGTGCGGGCAGTCTGGCCACGGCACAGCAGCGAGCGGCTGCCCGACTGCCGGCCCGGGGCTGCCCCCGCCGCCCTCCCTCCCTCCCCACCTCCCCCGCCTGCCTCACCGCAGTCCTCTGGCAGCACGCGGCCGGGGGCCACCAGACGGAAGTTGGAGATGAAGAGGAGGTGGGACAGGACGCCGCGGGGGCAGGAGCCAAACATGAAGTTGCGCACGACGCGCACGTCTGGAGGCAGCCCCTCCTTGGGCACCAGCCCCACCGCCAGCATCAGCAGATTGGTCAGCAGGTAGGCGGGCAGGATGCGGCGGGCGCGGCGGGACCAGTAGCCCGCCACGCGGCGCAGGCTGCTGCCGCCGCCGCCGGTGTTGGCGGCGCCGGTGGTGGTGGTGGTGGCGCCGTCGGTGGTGTCGGGTCGCTCCAGCAGCGGGATGAGGTGGTGGGCTGCCAGCATGGCGGTCAGCACCAGGAACACATCCACGCTGTAATTACCGGCGGTGGAGACCAGCCTGCAGTGCCGGAGGGAGGCGGGCGCTGCTGGGTGGGTGGCGGCGGGGTGGTGGTGGTGGCGGCGAGCCGGGATGGTTGGGGGCCCAGGGTAGCAGGCATGGCCGGCGCTTGCACCATGCTGGTGCAGCGCCTGTGCGGCTTCTGTGCAGGCAGGTGCGGGTGCATGTATGTCGACCAGGAGGCAGGCAGCCAGGCATAGCGTGCATAGTGAGGGGCCGCTGCAGCGCACTTGAGCATCCAGCTGCGCTCCGTCAGGGGCACCACAACGGATTCGTAGCTTTCCAGCAGGCTCCACACACGCCAAGAGTGGTACACGGGCACGGCCAGGCAGGACAGGGCCCTGACGCCGTTGAGGCACGCCATGTCCAGGCCATCAGGGGAGCGCCGAGGGGAGGCTGGCGCGGGCGCCGCCGCCGCCGCCGCCAAGGGTTCCGCCGGTGCCGCCTCGCCGCCGGGCTGCTGGCCGGTGCGGGCCTCCTTGCCGCCCCGCCGGCTGCCCAGGCTGGCGCTGGTGAGCGTCACAAACTGGGACGCGACGGCAGCCGCCAGCCGTGGGGACTCTGGGCCGCAGCTCATCTCGCCCAAGGCCGGGTGGAGTGGACGGGGGCTGCTCCTGATGACGAACTATCCACCTAAAGCAAAAAAGTGTGGCGCACGGGTGCATGCGCGACCAATTTAAAGGGGCAGCGGGGCGCGACCCTTAAGGCCTTCGGTCCCCCTTGGGCCAATGGAGGATTCCCCTCCCCAATAGGCCGTTGCACACGGCCTCGCAACTGCCAGTCAATGCAAGAGAGCCGTCAGGCTCGGGAGCTGGGCAGCCTTCTGTTCTGGCTCCCCGCCACCCGCCGGCGGCCACAACCCCGCAGAGCTCAAGGTCACCCTCGGCATCAGAGGTCAATCAAATCATGGTTGCCAGGTATCATGAAATCAGTGGTTGAGCTTATAAGCAAACAGTATACTGCCGGCAGCGCCGCTTCCTGGAGCCGGCGCCGCCAAGCGGCGCACCCAGGGAGCCTTGCAGGCGGGGGCGTTCAGAGGACGGGGCAGGCCTGACTCAGCCGCCACCCATTGCCCGCGACCACGGTGGAGCTCCAAGATGGGCCCAAGCCGAGGGCGCCAGCTGGCGCCGGTCAGGCCATCCAGGGCGCCAGGCGGGGCAGGATGTGGGCGGCGGCCGCCACCCCGGCCACCCCAGACAGAATGTACATGTACCGGATGCGTGCTGCAGTACACAAATGCAACGGGAAGAAAGCATGCGCAGCACTAAAGTGGCAGCAAAGGGAGCATCCAAGCTCCGGCGGCAGCAGCAGCAGCAGCAGCAGCGGAGGCAGTGGCTGCCAGAGCAGCGGCGGCGGCAGTGCACGACAACAGTGCTACAGCGGACCTGCTGTGAGGAAGCGGTCGGTGTGCATGGCGCTGCGCTGGCGGCGCAGGTAGGCGGCCAGCGGGGCCCAGGACACCGTCACCACGCCTGCAGGGGCTCGCGCAGGGGGCGGGGTGGGCTGGGTTGGAGGATGCGGTGCAGTGTGGCGTGCAGCTATGTCTGGTGCTGGAACAGACGCATAAGGGCAAGGCGACGCACGCATCCCACCACCCCGCCCCACCAACCCAACTCCACACACACACACACACACACACACAACACGCACACAGCCCGCACACGCGCCGCCGCCGCCCAGCCCGGCCGCCCCACCGTCGTTGTCGGGGGCGTCTCGTGCCGGCAGCCCCTGCTGCAGCAGCAGCTCTCGCACGGCCGCCTTGAGCACACCGCCGCGGCTGCCCCTGCTGTGCAGCCCCATGCCGGTGACCACCACCAGCGCCGGGGGAGGGAAGCGCTGGGGGCGATGACCGGGCACCCACTGCACGCCCCGGCGGGCCGGCGGCGTCATGCTGACCGCCGCGCCTGCCGCCCTTCCTGCCACCGCCGCCTGGGAGCCTGCCGCATCCTGCTGCGGCGGCGGCGGCTGCTGTGGCGCCCACTGCTGGCCAAGAGCGGGCCACACGTCGTTGCCGACGCCAGCCCACTGCCGTTGCTGGCGCTGGTCGTGTGCTGCCTCCCCTCCTCCCCCGTCACTGCTCCTACTGTCGCTGCCGCCGGTGTTGCCGTCGCTGCCGCTGCCAGGTGAGCCCTCGACGCCCGACAGGAGCTCGCCAGCCTCCCGCTGCAGCTGCCGCTGCAGCTGGCGCGTGGCGTGGCGCCGCTCGCGCAGCTGCTGCAGGCGCGCCTGCTCCTGCAGCCAGCGCTGCTCCATGCGGCCCACCTCTGCAATCACCTCGGGCGCTTGCATCACCAGCGTCTCCAGCCTCCGCAGCAGTACCATGCGGGCAGCTGCCTGGGAGCTGCCGTGAAGGTCCAGCAGCAGCAGCGAACGCACCCACGCCTCGCCCAGCGCGGCCTCCTCGCCCGCTGCCGCCGCGGCAGCCTCCGGCCCCCCTGCCGCTGCCCCTGCTGCGGCGGCAGCCGGCAGCCTGCCGCCTCCCAGCAGCAGTCCCAAGGGGTTCTTGCTCGCGGTGCGAGGGACCAGCTGGTCCATTTCCAGGCGGGACTGGCGGTGCTGGTGCAGGCGGTACGGCGCCCGGTCGCCCCGCCCAGCTTCCACGGTACCGCCGTCTGCGCCGGGGCCCGCACCTGCCTGCCCACTGCCTCCCTGCTGCTCCCAAGCTCCCGCCTCTCCTGCCTCCTCCCGCTGCTGCTGCTGCTGCCGCTGCTGCTGCTGCTGGCTGCCGTTTTCGCCGCTGCCGGCCTGGGCCTGCGCGTGCGCCTGCCCCCGGCTGGCCGCCACCTCAGCAGCCGCCCGCAGGCGCTGCACCTGGATGGCCCTCGCCTCTGCCACCACCTCTGCCGCCAGCGCGGGGTGGCTGCCAAAGGCCAGCGCCAGCACCCTCTCGGTACAGTCATCTGGCACGGCGCCTGAAGCGGCAGGGCCGGCGAGCGCGCGGAGAGCCCGCGGGGCGGCGTGCGGCGTGTGGGAGAGGGCGCGGCCGGGCTCCGCGGCTCCGCGGAACTATGCAGTGCAGGCGCAGCCGCAGAAGAACTGAACCGGAGCAGCCGAAAACAAAACAGCACAAATACAGCGGAGCTAATGCTGGCTAGCTTGGCAGGCGGCGGGACCCGGCCGCAGTCGTGTGCCTGCCCCACCACCTCCATCACACCTGCCTCCAGCCACACCCCTGCCCACCCACCACATCCAGTCACAGCGACACGCCACTGCGCCATCCACCACCGTCCACAGCTGACTCCAGCCGCAGCCCTGCCCACCGCCCCACCTCCACCTCACCTGACTCCAGCATCTGCACCCAAGCTGCGTAGGCGGCATCCACGCTGCCCGCCCGCCCGTACGCCCCCAGCAGCGCGTTCCACACGGGCAGCTCGGGGGCGACGCCCGCCTGGGGGCAGCGCAGCAGGGGGTGGGGGCAGGAAGAAAGAACGGCGGGTGGGCGGGATGTGGGTGGGTGGGATGAGGTGGGGAGTGTGGGCCTCCTTGGCGCATGGGTGGGTGCAGGGCAGGCGCCGCGGTCACGTGTGTCGGTGCATGCAGTTGTGGGCATGTGAGGGCCAGGCGCAGTAGGGGGCACTGCACACAGGCCCCCCTCACACATACACCGGGCAGCCCTCCGCACGACACCTTGACGGGACCGCCACATTCTGCGTACCACACCCAGTGAGAAGCTGCCAGCCAACCGGCCTGCCGCACCGCACCCCACCACAACCCCTCCCACACCCCTCCACACCACACCGCACCCCTCCACACCCCACCACACACACCCCACCTGCGGCATGAGGCGCTCCACCACCTCGGCCGCGCGCTGCGCCTGCCCCGCCCGCCCGCAGGCGGAGACCAACATTGAGAAGGTCCAGGAGGTGGGGGCGGCGCCCGCGGCGCGCATGGCGCGGTAGGTGGAAAGCGCGGCGTCGGGCAGCCCCGCCTTGGCCTGCGGGCGGGCAAGGGAGTGGGCCCGTGGGGTTGGTGTGGTGGGAGCGTGCGGGCAAGGGTGCAGCGCGGCGGGGTAGGGCGGGGTGTGCGTGGGCAGGTGTGGAGGGGTGGCAACGGTGCGAGGCGGTTGGCGCGGCTGCGCTCACCTGGCAGCCTACCAACCAGGCACCGGGCAGCCCGTCCAACACCCCAGCCCCAGCCTGCCCGCCCCTGCCACTCTTGCCTCCGAAACTATGACCTAACCCATAAGTGCATGGGCGAAGCAGCAACGACTTCTGTTGATGCAGCCGGCCCCGGCTTCCCTTTGAGTTCGAGTGTTGGAGTTGGGCACACGCCGCCCACCCACCCGCCCCGCGCCCTGGCAGCCCTCCCGCCGCCGCAGCCACAGCGACCCACCTGGCAGTCCAGCAGGTTGTGCCAGAGCACCACATTTGGCTGCAGCCCCGCCGCCCGCATCTCCT